GAATGGACAGTTTCCATTGCAAGCTGCAGGTTATCCCAGACTGGTTCTAGACTGGCCTGTGTGCTGGACAAAAGCAGGGCTTTGTACTTTAGCAAAGTAAAAGTGCATCCTAAATTCTGGTATTTTCAATGTTGAAGACAGGTTCAGAGCTAAGTATGAAAATTTTTCCTTTCTGGCAGATGTATCAAAGCCAGCCTTTGAGCAGAGCTGTAGCACTAAGCCTCAGTTTGGTTTGGTGTGGTAATACCCAAGGGCAGAAGTGGCAGTGCGTGGCTACCAGTCGTGTCAGCTTGGCTGTTCTACCAGGGAAATGTCTCTCTCTGCATATGAACTTTTCAGACATGAAGGACTAAGGGAATGTGTTGTTCCCAACTGCTACCTTCACTTTCTGGACTGTTTGCTGTACCCATCTGCCCACAGCTTTAATATCATGCTCATTAAAGAAGTCCCAGATTGACTGCATGAAGAGAAGTGGGATGGGCTGCCCTGAGCTTCTGGAGCCATAATAACATGTACACTGACAATGGGCCTAGTGTTCTTTCAGCTGATGATTAAATACTTGGCTCATAAATACCAATTTTATGTAATTCTGAATTCAAGTCAGCAAACTGTGACCATATGCAAGACTCTCTGTTTGGGAAGATTTGAGTCTTCCAAAGTCAGCCTGAGGAGCAAACGAGGCTTTTCACCAAGAGCTGGTGAGAGCAGTAGTAGTAACTCAATCCTGGATGCCCATTGCCTCCTAGTCTGTGATTGGCAACGTGATCCAAAGGCCTCTGGGGTTACTTGAGTTGGCCCAGGACTGTTGTGTTTGCCTGAGCCCTGGCAGTCAGTTGTGCTGCCTCTTTGGAGATCATTTCCTCATTGATGTGATGGGCAATGATGGCAGGTGGGGACCAGCAGGATGTCTTCTTACTGAGAGGCCTGCTTTTAACAGGTGCTCAGTTCAGCCAGTCACCCACATCTTGGTGGGTTGTGGGGGCTTTTCAGCACAGATGGTGTGCCTCTGACACTGTGTCCCTGCCTCATTCAGGTGTGAAAACCACACCAAGACTACAGCATTTAAAGGGAACCTGGACCTTCTTTCCATGTCCTCTGCTCTAAAGGAGGCCTCACATATTTTTATGAGGTGGCAGGAGGTTTAGCTGGTGCTCAGAGCTCTGAAGAGTTGAGTTGTAGTTATGGATACCAAAGGCTTTTAATTTTCTGAGTAAATTGGAATCTGGCTCCCACTGACACAGCACCTACTGTTGTTGTTGGATGCAGGTAGTGTCTTGCTCCTTGCCGGTCACATTCCTTCCAATGGGTCTGCTAGTGTGTCACAATTCAGGAAGAATGCACTTGGTGCTGGATATCTCTTTATGTTCTGCAAGACTGCAGCAGTTTGCTGCATTTCATTTGCAGGCAGTTTTCTTGTTGCTTCTTTGCTAAGGGCTGAATAACTTGAGTACCCAGAAGATCCTCTCTCCTGGGACAGGATTCCAGTCACCTAAGAAGTTGAGTTCAAAGGTATTTTCCATCTCTGAACACTTTGATCCCATGGCCTGATATCTGAGTTAACCATAAATGATTTCTCAGGCATCTACTTTCGTTTGTATTGACAAACCCTAGCAACTCTTAATCCCTTTATACATTTTTCTGGGCCTATTTCACAGTATCTGGGGAGGTCTACCAAAAATCAACACGGAGGAAGAGGCTGTGGCTGTTACTTACAAGTGCAGTTGATGTGATGGATCCATACCTGTTGTTCAGAGAAGCTACCAAGGGGCAATACCTCATAGTGTAGAGAAATAACCTTGTTGTGTGTGTTGAGGCATACAACACCTTTCTCCAGCAGTCACGTGTGCTCCAGAGAGCTGTCAGCATCTTGCCCAAGGGCTTTCCTTGCTCTTGTAATATCAACATTTACTGCTTTCCTATCATTACCAGTTTAAATAACTCTTGGTATTTTATCATCCAGATGTGGCCAGAAATAACCAATATGGAACACCTTGTAAAAATAATGGGGTGTGAGAACAGGTAGTTGAGAGAACAAAGCTATGACTCTTTCATCATTCCTTGGAGGAAATCACATTGTCACAAGCTTCCATTCTAGCTTCTATGTGGGGTGTGGCAAATCCTGTGGTTTATTTTCCTCTCTTAGAGGAGGAAGGCAGAGCTTTCTGCTGAGCAGAAAGGCTTGAAAGTGGTGCAGCATAGTGATCAGAGAAGTTGTGCAACTTGGGTTCTTCTGTCTCTAAGGTATGGCCTTGGGCAAGTCACTTAGTGTTGTGAGGTCCAGCTTCTCACCTCCCCAGGAGAGCCCGAGGGTTTGTTCACCTGAGGTACAGCTTTCACAGTGATCCTGCAGTACCCTGCTCTTAACAAAACTAAGAAGACTGTTTCCTTCTGTTTTCAGTATGTTGAGAAGCACTTTCAGAAGCATCATGCTGATGCATTTGCTCTGCCCTGGCTGTTACCTGGGCTCTGGGCAGTGATGCAGAGCAGGACACTGGACTGAGGGGCTGGGCTGAATTCAGGCAGCTGAACTGAGCAGGTCCCTCCTTGCCATGCTCAGCAGTAACAGTGGGGTTCAGCGGTGCCTGCGTTAGAATCCTCTGCTCAACAGATGCAGAGAAATTCCTGTTCCGAGCCTAGCACAGGCATGAGTGTCAGCAGCCTTTGGAGTCTCCTGCCCATCTCTCTCAGCAGTGATGAGGTGATCGTCTCCTGAGGGTGGGCAGCATATCTTGCTGCTGAACTGCAATGATGACTGACTCTGGTGGACTCTAGGAGCACTTATATTTTCCCCTGAAGTGCTGCAGCAGAGGAAAGCACTGACCCTTTTCTCACAGGCAGGTAAATCACACATATCACTGTAATCAGAATAAGCACATCAGCAGCTTTGGTCAGCTGTCTGCGTCTTCATCTGTAGGAGGCAAAGTTAGAGTTTCAGTCTGAATTGACCCTGGTCCCCAAGCGGAGCGAAGCCAGGGGGAACAGAGCGAGCTCTGCCAGGGAGCACGCACGCACCTCTGCCACAGGCTGCTCTGAGCTAACCCAGAGCACAGCTTTCTTCTGTGGAGACAGTGAGGTCTTCAGGTGGCTAAAGGTACTTCCTGAAACAGAGGTACATCTGTCACCTACCAAAAAGCATCTCCCAAATGCTAAGGATCAGCCTTACAGCTGGGGGATGCTTCTCTGTGAAAACGTTGTCTTCCAATACAAATGAGCTTTCTTAATGTAACCGAAGATCACCAACTTTTTTTTTCCTTCATCTTCCCTAGTTTTAGAGAAAACCTTTTTGATGACAGACCTGAGAAGACTTGAGGAAAGATTTTTGTGGACAGACTTTTTTCCTTCCTTGCCTTTTTTGCTTCTTTTGCCAGAAGTATTCTTTTACAAGTGTTTTATGAATGGAAAAAGGAAAAAGGGAGCAAAGGAGAAATACCAAAAAAGGACAAAGAGTTTTTAGGTTAAATCTTTTTCTCACTAAAGCAACTGAAAAAGAACAGCAGAAACAAATTTTTTCCCCAGATTTAAAATACTTAATAAAAAGATTAAAATAGATCAGTTGCCTCTCAGTGTTGCTCACATTGGTGGATTTCTGCATTGGAGGGACAGGCTGCAGATGGAAGGCTAAGAAGGGATGGGAGGCTGCTGGGAGAACGGCTGGCAGTGCCATCACCTCAGATGGCCCCTTTGCCTCCCTCCAGTGATTAACAGGAGGTGGCTTCCCGCAGTGATTACTGCGTTTTAAGCAGCTTGGTCCAGCTTGGAACAATTACCCGGCTGCCTGGGCACTGGGAGCACAAGCTCTGGGCTCTGCTGGCTTTGGGATATTAGCCGAAACCAGTGTGACCCAAGACAACTGGAAGGCAATGGTGTTGAGCATCCTCTCTTACTGGGTTCTGGGAGGCTGAAGGTGCTGGTGGTTTCTGAGATCAGCTGGCAGTTCTTTCAGACAGAGGACCAGGCTGTCACGTTTGCTTTGCTGCCTTTTGCTGGAAAAGGTCCCCACAGAGTGGTCTCTATGCACAATTAGCCTTTTAAACCTTCCTGCCAAAGATTCAGCCAGTACAGACAGTGACTCCAGTGCAGCAGGTTTGTTTGACATAAGAGCTAATTAGCAATTATCCAAATTTTGGTGCAAGCTCTTTCAGACCTGTTTATTTTTTTTCTGGTTTTCCGCCTCCCAAGCAGGCTAGGCACAAAATTCCATCTGCCTAATTTGTAGATGCAATTGCTTTAATTATGCATCCAAATTGGGAAAGTGTGTGCTCAAAAAGATAGGCAGCTAATTCTATGCATGTAAGATGATAACACATATACAGATTAGCTGTGTCCTCCAAATCCTGCACCATCTCAAAACCTGTCCCCTCTGAAGATAACTGTTTTAAAAGAAGAAGTCCTTTCCTCTTGCACGTTTAGAGCAGCTAAGACAGCCTGTACATCCATTTGGTTTGTTGGTTTGTTCCACCCTGATGATGCAGTTTTGTTTTACACAAAGGGATAATTTTCTTTGCCCGGAGCTAACTCCTGCCAACAAGGATCAGAACACAAGGTTTAGATGCTCTGAATGCACCTGCTGCTACGTTCAAGAAATGTTCTGCCCCAAGAGATGGCAAGTATAGGGAAGTGTGATAGAGCAAGGGGAGATGAAGGAAGGAGGACACAGGAATGTGGATCATGATAACCAGCCATGAAAACGGTGGACAAAAGGCTGGAGAATGGGCCAGAGGACTCAGTCAAGTACCTCAGCGGCTTCTGCTCTGCCTTGCCAGCATTCTGCCCTGACCTCATGTGTTGGCATCCTAACAGCAGACCCTGCTACTGGTTTTCCTTGCACCCTATGTAAGTTATCTTGTGAGCATCCTGAGACTTGGTTCCTAAGGCTCCACCCTGCTGGTGGTTCTCCTGCCTGCCCGGATCTGGTGCTGCCAAACTGGCACTGCTCTCCCCGTATGGCTGTGCCAGACCTTGCTGTGTCCTCATGGTTTCTTCCTTCTCTTTTCGCCCAGATGAGCAACAAGCGGTCGAATAGCTTCCGTCAGGCCATCCTGCAGGGGAACAGGCGGCTGTGCAGCAAGGCGCTGCTGGAGGAGACGGGGCTGAGCCTGGCGCAGCGGCTCATCCGCCACGTGGCCTACGAGACGCTGCCGCGGGAGATAGACCGCAAGTGGTACTACGACAGCTACACCTGCTGCCCTCCCCCCTGGTTCATGATCACCATCACCATTGTAGAGGCAAGTACCCTGCTGCCTTCTCCTGGGAACCCACCCCACGCTGCCAAAGGCTTTGCTGGAACAGGCACGGGGGCTAGAGTGGGACCCGCTTAGACCCAGACGAGGACAAGCATGGAGCTGGTAGCCTTTTTGGCTTCCCTGTGTGAGTGTGTGTAAGTGGAGACTGTGGTCCTATCTGTCTCCAAGCGTGGTTATTAAACATTGAAACAATTTGTATATGAAACTGCAGAATTTGGGGAAACCGTAGCAAAACTTTTTGAGGAGAGAAAATCTGGACAGTCCTAGGGAAACTGGTAATTCAGATAATGGGATTAGGAGAGAAATTCCTGTATGGCTCCCTCTGAATGGAGAGAAAGAGAAGGGAAGAGAAACTGGACTAAATATTCTGACTTGCTGACCTGTTGCCCAAATGAGATCTTTGCACACTTGCTGAGTAAGGTGCTTGAATAAGCACAGAGAAGGTTATAACATGGCACTGATCAGTAGGGCACTGAGTTCCTCTGACTCAGTGGCTGGCGTGTTACACAAAACCAGGTATAGAGTTATACTAATGTGTTGCAGGTTCCTCAAAACAGGGAACTTTCATGCTGTGTGAAGCTGTCAAATGGCAGAAAAATAATTGTACATTTGACTTTTTTTTCTCCATGATTTTAAGAGAAGGGATTTGCTAACCAAAGAATCTCCCTGCCCTTCTAGGTTGCCTTTTTTCTTTACAACGGAGTGGTATTAGACAGATTTGTGCTGCAAGTCAGCCATCCCTTATACCTGAAGAACGCATTACTTTACCATCCTCAGCTCCGTGCTCAGGCTTGGAGGTACCTAACCTACATATTCATGCATGCAGGGTGAGTACTTACAAGCTGCAGAGATTCCCCACAGTTCAGGTTCCCCAGAGAGAGGGAGGAGGAAGGGACACAATCAGCTCAGAAATAAATTTTAAAAAATCCATTCTGGATTGCATATAAAACCCTGAAGCTGTTGTGGCGTGTTGGGCAAACTTTCACAGCTCTCTGAAGGGAAGAGGCAACATAAGGTGCTTAACAGATGCTGCTCTTTCCCAGCAGTGTTGTGACCACAGCTTTCTCTTACTGTGTGTTCTTCCCCAGTGTGTGCTTCCTAAAACTCACCAGACTGAAGCCCAGTGTCCCTCTAGGGAAGCTGTGCAAGTGGTAGAACAAATCTACAAAGATGCTGGACTGGTATTTAAAAACTAAACGGTGTATTCTTGCTAGACTTCCTAGTTGAGGTTGGAAAAGTCAGTTAAATTCCCTGTGCCTATGGTATGTCATCACTTAGTAACGTTGTCCCTTCCATAGGGACTGAGATAATGCCTAAAAGCCTGAGTCAAGGTTGAACTCCTGTTTTGTACACACTGTACAAACACCAGTGTTCCTGGAGAGCTGACAATCTCGACTGACCAGATGGACAGAGAATGTTCCATCTGATGCACAGTGCTAAATGAAGGTGCACAGTAAAATGAACCCTCCTTCATCCCATGGGAGGTATTTAGCAGACTTGGGAAGGGAATGCAAGGCATGGAGATTCTAACTCTGTGCTTCTCAACTGTGCTAGTCCTCCCAAGACTCAAAGAGCCTTGGTTGTGTGATTTTTGTGATGCCATGGTGATGAGTGAGTGTCACAGGAAAGTTCATTCCTGTACAAAACACTCTACCCCCTCCGAGTAGTTTCTCAGATCATTATCTCTACACATTCCTGGCAGATAATTGCAATTTTCTCTAATACTCTCATTGAAAAATCACAGCAACAAGCTTTTCAGCAGTAGTCTATAGTTTGAAACCAGATAAAGACCCTTTGTTCTTAGGAAGAAAGCCTATATTCCCATCAGCCTATGAAAGGCCAGAAAGATCAAGCTGCTCTTTTCCTTCTTCCATATCTCTGATGGGAGACATGCTGATGTCTCTTCTCTGCCATGGAATAATTGCTTCGGTGTGCAATTGCCCTTGAGCACAAGATGTTCCCCAGATCTCTGGATAAAAATCATAGGATGGAACAGACTCCACCCAAAGGGAGAGTAGAAAAAAATGTATACATGAAACTTTGGAACATGGCAACATCTGTACTCAGCATACTAAATCACTCTAAAAAGTCCATTGTATGTAGGCTTCAATCTGCAAGTGGAGACTATTAGCTGAGATGTGAGGCTGGTTGTGTAAGATGAGAACTGGAAATTTTCACCACAGAGGATGTGGGGAAAACTGGGCTTGTGAAAGGAAGAAATACTTCATTTTTAGCTGATGTTAGTTAATTTGTATTTGGGTTCTTTTTCTGGTGGTGGTGGTATTCTACTATATCACTCAGGTAACCACAGATTGCTTTGGGATACATTGGAGGAGAAGCACCTGCAGGAGGACAGCTTTTGCAGCACTGAAATGTGGCATGCTCTCCTAGCCTGTGCGAGGCCAGCCGCTCCTGCAGCAGGCAGTACTCTGCCTTTCTTCACACCTACTGGCTCAAAAATGCCTGAGGTTCTTCACATCTGTGGCTGGCTCAGAGACGAGCAGTGGGGAAGGTGCTGTGCAGGACACTCATTGGTTTTGTGATGGATTCCAAGTTCTTTAGCTACATAGCCTTCTAAACAATGAAGAGTCTCACTGGAACAATAAACCCCTGATTTATCTGCAGTATCTGGAGTTAAGCTAAATGTTCATTTATTGCTAACTTCTGTCTGGTAAGCTCCTTTCATATCAGGAGAACACATAAATCTTGGAAAGGTAATAAGGTTTGTGAGTAGAAGCCCATCATTCTCCTCTCATTTTCAAATGAGAAACTAACACAATGCCATGGAATCTATTGTTATCCTGCTTCAAGCTGAGACTTTAAAAAAGAAATGTGAGCTGCTCCTTCATTTAGTGCACTTGGTCTGTTTTTTTGAAGAGCAAGTGACAGCCAGAAGGTATCCAAGAAGACAGCAGTTGCTACAGCCTGGCTGGCTGTGCCTCTAGAAAGATTCCAAAAATGTATGGCCTGTGTGTTGGTCCTGATGGAGGGAGCTTTGTCAAGGGCTGAAAAGGCAGGCAGAGTTGTAAATTCTGCCCTTCTGCTTTCATGGAAAGCAGACGTTGATTATCTGGGGCCCACGCATTTGTACCACTGCCATAACTAATGACTTGCATTGATGCTCAGTCCCATTTGTTTGGTCCCAGGGAAGGAGAAGGTCTTTAATAAATCAATGAAATTGTCATTTCAAGAATGACGCATTCAGCACTGGCAAAGGCTAATTATATTTTATGGGTGCTTACTGACTGTGGAGCCTTCAAAGCTCTTAGCATGATGGGGAGGACAAGTGAATGGGATTGCCCTGGAAAGTCTTTTAGAGAACAGCTGTGAATCAGAGCAGCCACTTTAGAGTCTAGGATAAACTTTGCCGAGCTCTTACAAAAGCTTCCTTTGAAAGATAAGACCCAGTGCTTTGTTGGAAATGTCAGGTGCCGCCTCATGACGTTGGCTGTGCCAGCCAAAGCTTCTTCCCTCCCCTCTGTGAAAGGGCACTTGGATGCTTGACTCTTTCCTGTGATTGCAGTTTGACCTTTGCTGGTTGTTCCCAATTTAGTTCCTAAGTTCTGTGAACATGCAGGATCAGAATGAATGCCAAAACATGCCCGTGCCCAGTGGCTTCAAAAGTCTAAAGCAAGGTAGTAAAAAAAAAAATCAAGTTACATGCAGCAGTTTCCCATGATGACAAATTGTAGTGCTGAGTGTCTAGTGCAGGAGAGAAATTTATCCTGGGAGAGTAATTCTGGAAATGAACCTGTTAAGATATCTGGAAAGGGCTGTTTCCTGCATATCATTTCTGGCATTTTTTTCCAGTCCAACTCTGAATTCTCGTTTATGAGACTGTTCTGTCATTGCTGCATCTCACCATAAGCATTTTTTCTGATGTATATGGGAGATTGCTATGGTAACATGAAGAAAGACCAAACCAGTGAAAATGTGTATAACTTAAACCAAAGATTGCTAGTGGCTGTCTGTGAGAAATCCTTTTCCTGTATAAAATAGGATGTAGATTTTTCAATGCAGTAGGTACTTTGCCCTCTTTCCCCCAAAAGATGCTGCCTCCTGTATTAAGGGTACCACTGTGTCACTTAGGTCCACCTGCTTTGTGAGCAGACTCAGGCACTTTTCATACAGAAACTATGCCCCTTGGTCCAGTGAGATGTGGCCAGTAAGCAGGGTCACAGCCCTGAGAGCCCGGGGTGAATCTCAGACACTAGCACAGTGTTCAGAAGGACCCTGTTCAGGGGCCTGGTGTTGTTACCTCACTGGAAGATCCTGCAGATGGCAAAGGCATGGGTAAATATTTGTACAGAGCTTTGAAAAGCAGCCAGACAGGTTTTTTTAAGTACTATTGATTAGACCCAGAAAGAATTCGCTTTGAAACTACTGATTCAGCACAGGAGAAAACTGCTGCACTGATGTCTTTACCAAATACACACACCTTGGCTGTGCATCTCTGCCTCTAGGCTGCAAGAGGTCCCGTAGGATGTGCACAGTGGGGTTTTCTAAAGACGAGTCTCAACCCAGCTTTTCCCATTGTGTTCATCAGGAGTTTTGCTACTGACTGTAATGGGAACAAGGGTAGGTGAACAGAGAGCTTCAGTGAATTCACCCATGTCTCACTGGGCACTTACCCAGAGATAAAAATGCCTCCTGCTTCCCTTTCTGACCATGATCCCATTGAGGTAGGAAAGGACGAGGGTCAGATACCACAAACAGTAAAGCATTGTTGTGTGTCACAAGGAAACAGCAACTGTCTTGGGATGGCCAGGCTGACCTTGCTCTTGACTTGATGCCTGCTCCCCATCAGGGCAGTGTAACTTGCAGGAAAATGCTGCATCATTAGGAAGGGACAAGAAAGGAGCAGGTCAAGTTTCAAGCTTCTCTTCCAGGCTCTGCTGCCATCTTGCTGCTTTTTTGGACAAGTCGTTAAACTTCTTCAAACAAACAAACAATAAAGGTCTCTAAGAACCAAACACGCCATGAGGTCTTTGCTAAAAGAGCCGGATGGATATGGAGAAGAAAATGATTAGCAAGGAGGGAAGAAATATTGCAGCTCTCAATCTGATGCGTTTTTAGGAGCCATTGTTTTTCCCAGTGTTACAATCTACTTTCGTGAAGCAGCAGCTGTTTGATTCCTTTTCCATGACATCTCTGACTCAAAGGTAGAGAAGGGAGACAAAGTGTTAGAAAAGAGGACAACTGTTGTTTTTCCTTGCTGCAGGATAGAACACCTTGGACTCAATGTTGTCCTTCAGCTCTTGGTTGGAGTTCCCCTGGAAATGGTGCATGGAGCAGTGAGGATCAGTTTTGTGTATGTTGCTGGAGTTGTGGCAGGTAGGTGACGCCTCTGGATGCCTCGGATGAAGAAGCATCTGAAAATGGTCTCTGCTGTCTTTTGTGTAGGATAAATATTTTGTGACATTTGGGTGTAGAAGAGTGGTCACTGATCTTCTGTGCGTTGAAATTCTTTTGGAGGCTGGTAGTGGGAAATACACTACAACTTCACATCTGTTTCTAACTAGCTGTAGGCACTGTTTTTAGGAGATCTGCTGAAAAAAAAAGCATCAACAACCTGCTACTTGAAAATAGCCTTGCTTTAGATGGACTTCCTGGATGTGGAGAGGTCATGCTGCTCCTGTCCTCTTGTGTCCCATAGAGGCCTAGAAGGAAAGTGACATCACAGGCATCCCTGCATGAAGAATCTTTTATTTTATTTTTTTTTCCAGATCCTGGTCCAGCTCTTCCTCCATTTGTCCTGTGCTGTGTGCTTTCTACAGCCTGAGTAAGCAAGAGGTATTTGGCTGTAGGTTCTGAGCAGTACACAGTAATCTGGAAATGTGTTTAATCATGAAGCCATGGGGTTGATTGATTTTTTTTCGTTTGTGCTATATTGCTTTTATTTATGTTTGACATATCCAGCAGTTTAGAGGTGATGAAATTTAGCTGACAATAGATCACCATCTAATTAAAACATGGGGAGAGTGTGAGAACAACCAGGGGCTTCACAGTGGAACTCGGACAATGACTGCCTGCCTTAGTGCAAGATTTATGGTGATTTTTTTTTTTCCAGCTACATAATTATTACTTTTTTTCTGTAATGAGCAGATAAAGCCTTTGTAAGATGGGTTGCATTGGGTACTATAAATCCTGCATTCCAGTAGAGAGACTGTGGAAAGAATAATTGGACCAGGACACAGGACTAGGCATGGTACAAACACCACACTATTTAATGCAGTGAAAGGAGTTAGCAGACCAGCTCCACTGTCCCTTGCCTGTTATTTTAATAAGCACTAAAGTGGTCCCCAATCTGCAACTTTCCAGACAAGCTTTTCTCCAAAGATCCATCTACTAAACCCTGGGGCATCATCTGTATATGTGTAAATACACATCGCACATCTGTGCCAGGTAAGGGAAGCAACTGAGCATTGAATCTGCTGCAAACACTGTGAGCTGCTGGCTGCCTCTGGGATTCCTGTGGCCATGGACTTGCTGGCACAGTCCACAGGGCCAGAGGCAGGTTTTACTGGGCGTTGGGCTGGGCTGAATCCCAGAGCTCTGGAGGCTTCTATAGCCGGTGCCGGAGTGAGGCTCACTAGCCCACCTGGCATCATTGATTCGTTTCTGCAACACAAATGATGCCTTTTTTTTTTCCCTCAGATGAGCTGCCACATCCTCATAGACTTGCCTTTCACACCTTATGACCTATAAAAAAGAAACTGCTAAATGGAAAGGGAAAACTTCCCTTCTTAGTGCAGGATGAACTACAAATGTGGCTAGATGGTACCACACAGAGAAGCATCCCATGATGGCCTTACCTGTTTGAGTTGTTAGCCAATTATTAAACATGCTTTGTTCTTTGATACGTGCCAGGAGAGAGAGAAAGAGGCATACTTATGCTGAGGATCTGGCAATATAATGGTAACACAGCTCATGAACAATCAGAAATAAACAGTAAAATGTAGGCAGAGGCCATAATAGACACTCCTTACTTCCATGGTTTTTTCCTCATTTGTCTGACTTTACTAAGAAGATATGATGAGCCTGAGATCAAGAGACTGAAGGTATATGCTGAGTGCAGTGTCCAAGGACTTAATTGCAAGTTCTCATTATTACTGTCCTAACTTCACATTGACTTTTCCCTTAGTGGCAGTGTTTAAGAGCTGAGGAGTCTCAGGGCTGTACAATGAAGGAGGGGAGCTATCAGCAGAGCCAGCTGGTAGCACCTCAGCATTTTCTTGACCCAGAATCAGCTGAGCAATTAGCAAAGAAGTTTGTTAGATTCTGTACTGCCAAGAACTCTCTCAAGATTTGCTATTGTCTTTTTCTCATTCCTGCTCATCACAAAGATCTTCATTATCTCTGCCTTGTGACACAAAGCATGCCTTTGTCTCTCTCTCTCTCTCTCTCTTAAATAACTCTTAAAGTTTGCAATTAAAGGAGCTTTGGGCAGATCTGAGCCTCCAATTAGGATAAGGTGAAGCAGTGTCTATGTTTGGATGTATTGTTATTAGTGGTGCCTTTATTTGACTGACCTGTGATTCCACTATCTTGTGTTTACTGCCTCCATCCAGGTTATTTTTAGCTACTTTACTCTGAAGTTTTGTAAGTAACTTTGTGCTTTGCACAGTTCCTTCTCACTGTGCAAGTATTTGTCTTGCCAGCATGGGAGCTGCTTCTCTTTTATCTTCAGGTGAGGAACAAGATACAGATGTTTTTCTGTCGCCTGCTTCCTTGTTATTTTAATCGGGGTGTGAGTGCCTTTTTGCAGCATAGGTCTGAAGATAGGTTACTGCTTTGCTTGGCTGCTTTTAAAGTAGGTGCAGAAGAATCGATCAGTCACTGTCTTGGCAGCACTACAGGACTGAGTTGGCTTCACAAGTTGATTGATTCTCCACGCCCCCCCTTCTCTCTATCTGTACATTACTGACCTGAAGCAATTAGCACAAAACAGGCAGTAGTGGGAATGTAGGGTAAGAGAGAGCGTGTCTATGTGGCTGGCAGTTGTCACAAACCCATTTTCTTTCTCCCAGGGTCCTTGGCAGTGTCAGTAGCTGATATGACTGCGCCCGTGGTGGGCTCCTCGGGAGGCGTGTACGCTCTCGTCTCAGCTCACTTGGCCAATATCGTCATGGTGAGTACCAGAATGATTGTCTAACCTCTTCAGAAGTGAGACAGGGATTTGAAACAGGGCCTGACCCAACTGTTGGTCATTCAGAGCTTGCCCCAGTGAAGACTCTTGTCTCAGTGTTGTGGTCCTGCAATGGAAATGTTAAACTGCAGCTGGTGCCTTGGTTACCCTGATGACTGGCAGCTTGCCAGGAGAAACCAAAGATCTGGCTGGTAATCCAAGAATTATCAGTGTACTCTGGGCTATCAGTTCTCCTTGCAAGGGCTGACAACTGTTTGGAAAATGAGGAGCTGACTGGCTCTGCAGAAGTTGCAGACCTGGGTCTGTCTGTGGGTGCCATGAGATGTTAGTGGGTGCCTAAGGAAATGGAGTGTTTGGTGGCTTGGTGCGCAGAATGTCCCATATCTCCGTTTGTAAAGCCCAGACTGAAGCTGAATTCTGGGTGTTCTAGTGATGCAACTTTTTGCCTTTTCACCTAATTAAATAATTTACAAAGGTCACTAAACCCCAGCATCATCATTCCTCTAAGACCTGGAAATAGAAGTTCATCCAAGGTCCTTGGCTAGGTGGTGGCAAAGCCCAGCGTATCTGCCCACGTGGCTCCTCAGCTGACTGAGGACTCGTGTGGTGGGACAGGGCTGCGTGCCTGGCCTGTGCCAGCCATGTCAGAGCAGAGTAACCATAAAAATGATGGTAATGTGTCCTCCCCTGGGTCTGAGTGGGAAGATAATGCAGGTCAGCTGCAGCAGAGACAGAAGGTCTGTTGTATGTGTGCTGGACAACGCGTGCGTGTGGTGGGGCTGGTGCCAAGCCTAAAAGAAAGGCTGGTTGGTGTGTGGTGTTTGCACGTAGCGGAGTCGGCAGGCACCGGCTGCAGCCCACAGTGGTGCTGCTCCAGGCAGCCTTTGTAGCAGCTGGCAGTGGGGGCAATGAGTGCTTTCCTGGGCAGAACAGGTCTCCTTTGCTCTCTTCAGGCTTTTTGGAGCATGAATGAGCTAGGGACTGTTGCCCAAATCAGTACAGTTGAGTGGCTGGCAGAGGGACGGGGAGCGGAGGAGTGGGGCTGCCCCTATATCACAGGGTTTCTACTGGAGAAATGCCTCCTTACAGACAGTTATTTCCAGTATGATCTGTGTTCTCTGGGCCAAGAGGAGCAGGAAGGAGTTTCCTCTGTCTCACAGGGTGGTAATGCAGGCACAGGGTTTCTTCACACCAAGATTCACAAGGTCAGAGGGAGGTATTGGAGGAAATTTTGGGTTGCTTTAAAAGAGGCTCTGCCAGAGGTAGGTGGAGATTCTTCACCAGTTACCTTCCCAGATTCCTAAAAACATTGCAGAGTGGCCTGTCATTCCACAATTCATTGGCTTCCTCCAAATCTATTTAACAATTGCTACCTTAGCATCTATATTTCTCCATTATCCACTGCCTCTTTTCTTGTCTGAAATGACTTTTACTGCCTTTCCCATTCTGGTGGGTTTTTCTTTTGCTTTTCTTTCCCTCTCTTCTCTCTCCCTGCTCCTTTTGGCTCCCATATGCTGAAAGATGTGCTGGCCACAGTCCTGCACAGGGGCTTCGAGCACGCTGAGAGGAGGAGGGACTGGTGCAGGGAGGGACTCTTGAATCTTCTGTTCCCTTCTGCCTCCTGGCAACCAAAGGAAATTAAAACATTCCTCTTTGTAAAAATAAATATTCTACGAACTAGATACATAAAATAACCAACAGGGGGAAGCAATAAAGTATGTCACCCTAAGGAATAGAGTGATGGGGGGAATTCAAAACAGCTACATGGAAATGAAAACCGAAGGAAGCCACACAGTATTAATCAGCATGAGTTCAGAGTCTTCTGACTGCGTTAGGTGTCCCTGTGGAAGAAGAAAATGAGTTACTTATTTTGTAGAGATTGCATTTTTGCAGTCACAGAAGTGATTTACAGACAGATGCCACATAGAGCCTGAATATATGTAATATATATTGCAGAATATTTCTTCAGCAGACTGAAAACTCATTGGGTGTCATTAAAATTAGGCTAAAGATTTTACAAGCTTTTTTTTTTTATGCCTTCAGTGTGATGAACAGGAGTTTTTTTTTTTTCACAAGAAACCTGGCTAGCTTGGTATCTCATACTGCTTTCAATAAGCAAGATGCCATTTAGTCACTCAATAATAGTGTTGTCATACATGCGAGTTCTCCAGAACACAATCTCTTTTTCCACTTGGAAATTTTGTGCAAGTGGAAAAGGAGGGTTTTAAACATTTCTCCCAGGATTTCTGTCATTCAGAGATTCTTATTCCACTCTATTGATTAATGACCAAGCCTGAAGGCAGAGGAAACCAGGTCCAGGCTTTCTTGCAGCACTGTTTCCTTGTTATGCTTTTGTTTGGGTCTTTATTATTTGTGTGTGCTCTGCTGAAGATCTGAGTTGCAGAATTTCAGGGAGCCTGAGCTATAGGCTGTAGCACTGGAAAAGCACAGTAGAGCTTGAGTGCACTGAGAAGTGGCCTTGACAAGTCACAGTGCTTTGGCTTCAAGTGAATCATGATGAGTTGTGTGTTGTTAACCAGAATGATGCTTGTGTTGAATACTGGGTACTTCTTAACATTATTTTATTTGATATGGTCTAATACAACAGAGTTTTGCAGGGAAGATAAATCAAAATATTTTCAGAAGCCAGAATTTAAGGTGAAACATCATGCTAAAAGGTTAAAAATCAGCCTGTTTGAAGAACAGAGAATGGCAAGGCCAGCTAAGGACCATGCCACACCAGCTGGATCTCAGGCAAGGAAAGTCAATAAAACTGCCAGGCAAAGAAGTTATAGACCATCCATAAGTTGGACATGTCTATGAGATATCCCTCACGGTAATGTCCCCCAGGATTGACAGATCTGTGTTTGATGTGGCCAGTGGAAGGTTCACAGCCAGGTGGCAAGGGCAACAGAAGGGTTTTGTTGGGTTGTCATCCTTTGTGCTCTTCCAGTGTAGTTCTGAATGTAAAATCCCTCCAGGTCTGCATGCAGCATGACTTTGTTCTCCTTGTTTCTTTTCCAGAACTGGTCAGGAATGAAGTGCCAATTCAAACTGCTGCGCATGGCTGTGGCCCTGATCTGTAGTGAGTATCCTGCAAGGCTTGGCACACACGCAAGCCTCTTTTGTTTGTCCTTGTCATAAGAGGTGATGCTGATTCAGAGAGTTTTGACTTCACAGCAGTTTTGGTAGGAACTTGCAGCTGGACCTTCTGGCTGAAGAAACCACATCTCTCTCAAATGCAGATTTTGGCTTTCAACACAAACATTTCTAAATGAGGATTTGTTGTTAGCCAGCAACTGTAGGTTGTGGCATTTGTAAAGATCTGGGACTTAAACGTCTCTTCTTTGAATTCATAAACAAGCCATGCTTTCATAATGACAGTACTTTGGTTTCCTAGAGCACATCCTATTTGGAATGGCAACACATTAATGAATTGTCTTCCAGCTATATCCCTAGGGTGGCACGAGAAGGGAAACTAGGCCATATATTCCTCACAGACAATTGTCTTTAAAGTCTAGTTCTTTTTCTTCTGGTTTTGTTATAACTTTTGGAAGGTGAACATTCCCTCACCTATCTACACTCCAATGAACCCAGACCACTTACTAACCACTGGAGAGACTTCACGTCTGTGTGATGCGACCCCTCCCTAGCCATGGCTTTCCAGTTTCCCTGTGCTCACTGTACAGGGCAGCTTCTCCCTCTCCATCTCCTCAGGGATGCAGCACTGCCTGCAAGATGGACTTAAGAAGGGATAGACCTAGATAATTAATTTGTTTTTCCTCCATTGTTCCAGTGAGCTTTGAATTTGGAAGAGCCGTGTGGCTGCGATTCCACCCCTCTGCTTACCCGCCCTGCCCACACCCCAGCTTCATGGCTCACCTGGGAGGGGTGATGGTGGGAATCACCCTTGGTGTCATCGTCCTGAGGAACTATGAGCAGAGACTCCAAGATCAGACTTTATGGTGGATCTTCCTTTCTATTTATGTCATTTTTGTCTTGTTTGCGATCTTCTGGAACATTTTTGCCTACAGCCTGTTGGATCTAAAGCTACCTCCCCCTCCTTGAACACATGGGACAGAAAACTGGAGAGTGGAAGTCATGTCAGCTGTGTTAGATGAATGAAGATGGAGGATCTATTTTTATATTTAACTTAGGGGAGGCTGATTCTTTTGAACACAAGCGTGTGCTGGAGGAGATGCTTAAAGATCTCATGAAAGACTGGGCTGTTCGGTTTGTTCAGAAATCTAGCAGGTACTGTAATACTGGCTGGCCTGGACCCTGCAGTGTCCCCACTGCCAGGGCTTCCATTGGGCAGCTTGTACTTGGGCACTTATCACTTGGTTTGTTAGCACACATCAGTATTTTGTATGAGATATTTGTATTTTCCAGTTCAGTGCTGGAATTGTGGCCAGTTGTTGAATGAATCTCCTCAATGTTACCAAACACTAAAAGGGAAAAAGAGCAGACATTTACTAAGTAGAGGCTCATGTGGTACTCACAAGGCAGCTTGGGTTTGGTTTCTCTGAACACGTCTGACTGTTCAGCCATATCAGTGTCACTGTCTAATTACTTGAACGGTTCCTAAGATATTTTAGCCTATGGTGAAACCTGTCTTACGCACCTTTCAGAGGAATCAGCAGAACTTGGTTGCCCAAAGTGATGGAGACTGGTCTTCAACTACAGGCCAAACAAAATTGCACTATAAACCTTGGGAACTCTGAGTATTGTGGGCACCCAGCCAGAGATGACTTTTACTGTGCATGTTTCACTTGATTTTAATTAATTATTCCCTCCACCCCCCAGCCTGCTGTGGCTAGAGGGTGTGACTGGGATTTCTTTTTTTGAGGGATGGAGAAAAGGAGGGCAGGTGTTCAATTGTGTCTTTATCAGCTGACAATCAGGTGCTGTTTTCTATTTCTGGCCACGCTGATCTAACACCTGGCCTGCAGAGAGCTCCTAGCAAGGACCTCAACTCTTCCAGCAAGTTCTTAGTAGGAAAGTGGGACCAGGATCCCCTATAGCAGCACAGGGTGGGAACTGTGGAGCCTTTGTAGCCATACAGTCCATTTGGGGCCAAATCTGTCCACTGAAGTCAGTGGAGTTAAATCAGGTTGTGTGTAGCACTGCTGTTGCACTGCAGTTGGAAGGGTGTTACTGTGTTCCAGTGATCATTGTGGAACTGATAAAACTGGTTTTAAAGTGACTGCTAGCTTTTGAGGATGCCTCTTCCCGAGGCAATGGATGTTGAGGGGCTCCAAGCAACCGTTAGTTGCAATGATGCCTTTTTCTTTAATGTTGTTCAAGCCCAGGTTTTAGGAATCTGTAACTGGTCTGTAGCACAGTCCATCCAGTTGCCTGCATGGACCTGGAGAGCAGACTGGAACATCTATAGCACAAGCAGTGCTTGTAGGTACTCTTCTCTGTAAGGTGCTTATGATGTTTTGCATCTCACTTCAGAGAGCTGCCAAACTACAATCCAGGAATGTGGATGCCCTCCTTTTTTGTCCCCTTTACCCACTTGGTTTGATGACCTGCATAAAGCAGCCATAGGAGTCTTTCTACATTAGCTCCTTTCTTGCTTTTGTTTCTGTTTTCATACTGGTGCCCAGGCACCAGCCACCAGAGCCTTCCACAGCACATCTCATGGGCACTGGGGCAGCTGGGTTTGCTCTGTGGCAGACATGTCTCTATCACAGACTTTATTCTCTCAGCTGTGTATCTGGCACTGCCAGATGATACTGCAAACTAGTAGGGGTCTGTCTTTCTAGAGGGGACATTCACAAGTGCTTATCAGCTGCCCCCTTCTTTGCCTCTTATGGGGGAAAATCTCTTTGGTCTGGAAGGGTGAAGTTCTGCTCCCACAGTATGCACTAGTAAAACTCCAGTTGCCTCAGGGGAAGGGAAGAGGGAGAAAATAAGTGTTTCTACAGCCTGGAATAAGCCTTACCTGCAAAAGAAACAGGTTTTGTCACCTCTGTGCACAGGAGTGGGATCCCTGAGAGCAAATGAACTTTTGTTGTTCTGCATGGCTAGTGGATTGCTCATGGGCTCTCAAATTAAGGAACAAGAGGAAAGGATAAGCGTCAGAGCTGTGTTCATTTTGGAGGGGTTTGGTTCCCCATGCCATTTCACCTCTGAGCTTTGGGTCCAGATGAAAGCAGTCACGAGAGTTTACATGCATTGTTTCAGGTGCTGGCCCAGGCAGTTTGGTAGTGGTGGTGACCATCTCCTTGGGGAGCAGCAGGCAAGCAGGAGAGCGGGGAGCTAGGAGATTACTGACAGAGCCATGGTTAATGCAGGAGCAGGACATTCCTCTCCTTGCCTATTGCTAAGCCTTTCTGATGACAGATGCCTTTGAAACAGAGGTGACCAGAAATGGGACTTCCTCTGGAAGTTTTAGGAAAACTGAAAATTTTGGTAGAAAATTTCAGTTGCAACAGACCCCAGGTTATTTTGCCAATAATTTGCTAGGGTACGGTACGCAACAATTGACTTATTTTTGGTTTCTCAACTGAAAGCTAGTTCATGCTCATGAGCTTCTCCCCAGGAACGGTTTCTGTGCCTGCCAATGACATGCTCTGGGGTGAAGCAGCAAGCTACAAGTTCAAAGGCCACCAGTTTCTTCGTCAGCCTGACTCTGGCCAATGTATCTTTGCCTCTGCTCGGGAGCAGAAGGGAGCCAAGCAGAGTAATCCAGACACCCTTCTTTGCTCTTTATCCACAGATTAACACAGTTTACGTGAGCTGGTTGCAAGCAGCTCTGTGGCTGAGGTTATGACTTGTTTGTTTAGACTTGTTCATCTTTCTGACTTCCATTCTGTGTCCCCATACTCTGTCTAAGCAAGCCTACAAGCAACTCTGAGGATCAGAAAGGCCAGACTTTAAAGCAATACTAGAGTTACTATGAGTGAGAAAATGAATTTTCCTGCTCCTCAGCACTGAAGTCTTTCCCCATACCTAGAGATGGCTGCACACAAAGCCTCTTGTCTGCTAAGTATCTATCACCTCGTGGAGTCAGGAACAGTACAAAGTTCTTAAGCTTTTTTTTTTTTTTCATTATTTAAGTTTTTTTTTTTTTCAATCACTAAAGTTACACTGTGAAAACTTATGTTTTTACAGAGTATCATGAAATCTCGTTATTTTCTGATGCACCCAGGAGTACCACAGTGCTGCAGCACCACAGAGCTAACAGCAGCCAGGCTTTCCTTTTACCTCCAGACGTCCTTGAAGCAGCAGGCTTATGTCAGAGACATAATATTCTCCATCCTGTGATTCCAACTTGTCACAGTCAGCAACATGCTCCTGAAGGAGCTGTCCACTGAGGAACTGGTCTGGGTGATTGTTTTGGTTTTATTTCAGCTGCTGTCAGGATTTTACATCAGTCAGATAAAATGTGAATCTGTGGAACCTTATGATCTGCAGTGCTAGAGCAAAAGGCAAGGACTCTTACCACCATACAGAGCTGAACAGTGCATGTCAGAGGAAGGTTTTTTATACTTGTGTCCTTCAGTCAGAACACAACACCTGGGAGGGAAAAAAAAATAAAAAAGCAAGCTGTTCTGTGCTGGACTTGCCTTTTTGTGAGTATACTGCAGCCCTGGTCCAGCGAGGGTGGGTGTGGGGAGTAGTGGTGCAGGCTGGGAGAGCCCGGGGTGCTGGCTGTAGAGCTCCTTCGGGGACATCTGCTGGCAGCACAGCACAGTGACAGCACCCATGGGTCCAGCTCCCAGCCTCTGGCTGATCCCTCCTCCCAGAGGATAGGCAGGAGAGGTGGCTTAGCCACGGGGAAGAAGGAGGAGAAGGGGAATCAAGTAGATCAAAGTCCACGGGGCTTCAAATTGCACCTTCTGTTCCTAAATGCTTGCAGGTAGGTAGAGATTAATTTTGCACACATCAGTAATAATGCAGAAAGGAGGAGGGGGAGGGGTTTAATGGACCAGTGGGAGAGGAGGTAAAATGCTGAGAAATTTACTTTTGGCGTGTTCTTAAGACAACACCTTGTGTCACTTTTCCCCCATCAGTCGATGAGGAATCTTAGGACTTCTGTGGTATATTGTGATTCTTCACTACTTGCCCCTTTATCAGTAGGAAGTATTTTATCAGTGGAAAGGGAGGAGGCCAGAGAAGTTATCATTGCCTGAGGTTGCTGGACTAGAAATAAAGCTCAGGGATCCTGTATCTTAAGACCTTGCTCCTTCTGTTGGATTGTACTGCCCATGATTAAAGCCCAGATTAGATAGTTTCAATTTGAACTGGGGTACGAAGGATGGAATCTGACACATTTAGAGCTGGTACTAAAATAACAACTATCTCTTGACCTCACAAGAGATTGACTGTTTTGTGCCAATATTTACTCTCACAGGATAGTGGGTAGAACTTTCACACATACTTCAGTGAGTAAAGAGCTCAAAGTCTGTTTATATAGAGCCAAGCTCAGCTCAGTTGCTGTGGAAACCCCAGCCACTGGCTTTACCTGAAGTGGAATGGAGAATATGGATGCAGTTCAACACTAGCAACCTCTGGAGGCAAACTGGGATCTAGAGAGAGCAAAGGCCAGCACCTCTGGGGGTTTGGCCTCTGAATATTGCTGCTCTTCTGTTTCTTTTACAGTAGTGGCCGCTCTACGGTGCTGCGTGAGGCGGCTCAAAAATTCCTCCTGCAATCACCAATGCTGAGAGCTGGTTATAGAGGAAAACTGCATTTTGCAGCTCTGTAAAGAAAGAATCACACATAAGAAAGCAACCAAGCTTGTTTAAAGGTAAATATTTTTAATGTCATCATTAATCAGTGGCTCTTAATCGGAAAAAGCTTTCTAATGAGGTATTTCTGTAAGGCCAGCAATAGTACAGAAGATTGTTTCAGGGTACTATACAGCACTGAGCACAGAACATTCCCTAGACCTGATTTAAGTAGCAAAAGTACTTTAAGTTCCAGTGAGCTTAAAAGACACAGTAGTCACTGCCTGTCTCCTGACACCCCCCCAGTGTCTGTTCAGTTTGCAAATAAAGCTAGATTTACACAGCTTTTCTTTTGGTTATGCTACTAAATGCTAACAACACATCCAAGTGTTAAACGCAAAGCACTAAACAATGTAATTTTCTGCCTTAAAATACTGAACAAAAGATACTTTCCCCTTAAGGGCTAGTGAAACAAAATTATATTTGCAAGGTAAGAGCCTGTGGTACATTTCCAAGTATTTTTGTATTGTGTACATTCTGTATATTTTTGTTGTAACAATATTATTTGAGCACAGAATCCATTAAATTTTTTTTTGTTTTTTTTGTTTTGTTTTGTTTTCTGTTCCTTTTTTTTTTTCTTTTTAATAAAAACAAGCTTTTCAACCCCCCAGGCAAAAAAAAAAAAAAAACAAAAGAAAGTTTTCAAAGAAAGTTTCAACACTATTTAACAAAAGAGCAATGGGTTTTGAGCTCTGCAGTATGATCTTTTAATAATGACACTGATAACTCATTTTTATGTCTCTCTAAAAGTGTCTGTCTGAAAGATAATGGGGAGAGTGAACTGCTGCTGTATTTCTCCATGAAATACAATAATGATGCAGAACCAGCTTGGGACTTGTTCTGGAATTCAGGTCTTGTCCCACCATTTGACTACTGTGCTACTTCAGTGCAGTATTGACCTCAGAATTGTGGGGAAGCTGATGACAAAGTACATTAGACTGTTTAAATTTTTTTCTTGGAGTAATTGGAGTAAAAAAAATCTTTTAGCATCAGTCTGTGCTGAATGTCTTAAAAATCTCAGAGCAAACACATTGTAGTCTCTTGAATCCATAGCAGGGACAACATGCCCAGAAAGTTCTGCCACAAACTTCCAACTAAATTAGTTATTTTGAGATAACTAAGATCAAAATCATTCCACCAGTGTGGAAGAGGGAGGCTTATTTTGAGAAGTGTTTTGTGTTTTTGTTGGAAACATTGGGTTAAAGTGTAACTTGAAGAAATGAATATGTAACTATCAGCAGTTCCTGTCATATTTGTTACTCCCATGGGGAGGCAGATTCTTGCGACTGTCTGTGGGACTCAACTCTTGCTGTTTGGTTTTTGCACTTAACTGAGCTTTCCGAGACACTTAAATGTCTCTATTCATTAGCTGAGGACTTTCAGCAAGCAGGTAAAGTGGCTTTGGTCTCAGTTAATACATTACTGTCTGCTAGCATCATGCTTTTTTTTTTTTTTCTGGCTAAAATAATCTTAGAAAAGAAAACTGCAGAACAGAAACACTGCCAATTCCAGCATATCTGTTGCAGAGAAGGAGCCAAAAGCTGACAGCCTTGATTACAAAAACTCACAAAACTCATTATCATTTTATTCCCATAGCTTCAATCACATTCTGTGTAGAAAGTGTTGCTCATTAGTGTTGGAAAGAGAAATACTAATTGGTTTATATGCTACTTCTCTTGGGAGTAAAGAGGGGGGAAACCCAAGAAACTAAACCAGTCTCTGGTCCTTCGAATTGCAAGAGGTCTGTAGCAGTTAAATCTACACTTGCATTCCTGGCATTGGCCTCAGAGATCTGGGGTTTGGGTGTTTGTCAGGGGGGTGGGTGGGTGGCGTGGCGTGTTTTTGGTTCATTTATAAGCTGGTTTGGTTTATGGTGTGGGTTTTGTTTCTTTGTTTGCTTGTTTATTTGTTTGTTTGTTTTTTTCCAAAGAGTTTTAAATCAGACCCTTAAAACTACAGTAAAAATCTTTCAGGTTTACAAATTAAGTGCACATCTCAGCATCTTCTGACCTTTCTGTGCTTCATCCTGAGCTCTAAATAGCTGATTGCGGGAGGAAGCTGTGTGTAATACTCTGCAGGCATTCCGGCAGCTAAACCAGCTGCTTCTGCATTATTTATTGTACTTTTGTTTTATTTCCTTTAGTTTTGTTTCTTAAAATAGAATTTTTAAGGGGGAGATGCCAGTAAAACCTGTAAATTCATGAGCTACCAGGGTGTCTTTCAATGTGTGCACTTGTGTACTTGTGAGCGTCTTGAGTGTAGCAGTTGGGTAGCTGGATGGCAAAGTCCCTGCAAAGCTGGCAGAGGCCAGATGATGTTAAAGGCTGCAGAAAGCACGAAATTGTGGGGTTTTGTACTGCCAGCCACCTGAAAAAAGGAAAAGGAACTTGTAACATAAAAAGCTGCGACTGAAGGTGTCCAAAGCAACAGTACAAGTTCAGCGGGACCGATAGTGAACAACCGTGGAGAGGCCCCAACAAGACTGAGCAAAGCTTTACAGTTAGATTAAAAATACCTGGATTTTGAAGAGTGATTTATAGTCATTTACCTGGCAAGAAAAAAATCTTATTTAAATGAGTGTGATACAAATCACAAGATAATGGGATAATTCAGGTTATAAGGGACCTCGGAAGGTCTCTAGTCCAACCTTCTGCACAAGACGGGGTCTGCTAAGAGGTAGCACAGGCTGTTCAGCACTTCAGGCAGTTCATCCTTGAAGGCTTCCAGGGACAAAGACTGGGCAAAGCAGTTGTGGTTAGGTTACATCTCAGGAAAACTTTGTCAGCACCAGTGCTGCTGTGCCTGGGACTGACCTACTCTTTGTAACTACTAAGGGCAGCACATAGGACTCCTGTTCCCAGGAGGCTGCAGACCAACTCCACCCAGCTGCAGGTACGAGGGACAGGACTGGACTAATGCAAGGATTTCTTAACACTCCTACCCAATCACAGCTGCCTGTTCTTCACTCACAGCTGCTTATGGTTTAGGTTTGGGGTTTTTTTTTGAGGGGTGGGGAGTGGACACCATCAGCACTCTTATCTTGTTAAAAATGTTAAAGAGCAACAAAATTTGACATGTTTTATTGAGTGGCACTGATTTACTTCCTCATGAATAAAATATTCTGAAGAAAAACATTGTTACTTCTCAGAGCTCCTGCAAATGAGAGAATAAGGGGGTTTGTTTTCTTTCAAACTACTTTTGTGTCACCTCATCTGCCAATGTGACACTTGCAGAGTCCTGCACATTACTCTAGCAGCTCCTCTGCACTGAAGGGTTTTAAGGAGGAGACACCAAAGACAACACTCACATGGAATTGAATCTAGGCAAACTATTAAGGATTTTTAATGTTTTATTGTAAAGCTTATTGTAGGTTCAACAGAGCGGTGTCAGAGGGAAGCGCTCTGCTTCCGTCACCAGAGGATACAGCACTGGCAGATCACACTTCCCTGCCTCAGTCAGACTGTTACTGCTTCCAGGAGAGTTGTTCACCTGCAAACAGCCTCTGCTGCAAAGGACAGGAACAGAGTTTTGCCTTTATGCAGTTGCAGAACTGGTCCTTGTTCACACGGTCACTCACGAGGCCTCGTCAGTTCCGATTCCAGCTGTAGCCAAAGATTTTCTTCAAGTATTCTACTGTCTAAAAGTCCTACGATGTGGGTAAGAATTCATTGCTGAAATACAACTAAATGCTTCAACGTCTGAAGAATTAACTTGGGAGCTTGGTTTACTTCAATTTCTGAAGCAGTTTCTATTAACTTAAAATTTAATCTCTAAAATTTTCAGGTTTAATTCTCCACAGGTGAAAAATAATTTACAGTTGTGCAAAGTAGCTAGTAAGAGCATACAAATGTCCTGATCACAACGCAAACTAGTGAAGGACGGGATTCAACACACAGCCTGGGAATTAAACATGTCTGTCCAAGCACATACAATCTGATTCCTAAGCTCAGTTCAGTCTTCAGGCAGTTCTGTCTCCTGCCAACTAACATGTTGTTCACCAAGGAACAGCAGAACAAACTGCCCATTCAAAATGCAATGTGGATACTGGCTACAGGCTTTTTACCTATGTTCTCTTACATACACAAATGACTAGTTTATTTACTATATTTACTATTTATCCACATTTGTGTTTCTTTACATATTAAAAGTAACTAGATGTTAATGATTGGACATAATTATTTTAAAGATATTTAAAATATTTAAAACACTGAAATGCTTGCCAGGTAAGGTATTTGGGGCTGGTTTTTTTTTTTTTTCATGCAAAGACAGTAAAACCCAAACGTCCATGATTTCCTCAGAAAAGGAGCAAGTCATTTGGAGAATTTAGTAAGCACTGAAAACTATGCATGAGTTTGTATGGTCTAATGTCTACCTTTTAAAAAATCTCCTATGACTTTTTCTAAAAAAATAAAAAAAACAAAAAAAAAAAAAGACAGATGAAACTGCAACTTAGGTTTGACTTGGGTAATACTTTTAAATATAATTTTAAATATCATTTAAAAATCCTGCCATAGTGAAAATAAGCTGCACAGAAGAAATGAATGATTCATACAATACCCTCAAATAAATACAGAATTAAGATAATTTTAAGCCACTGCTGTTTCTTTTGTGAATTCCTCAAGGACAGTCACTACATTTCTGGCTTCTGGCATTTCTGCATGTTCTACTTTAACAATCTTCAGAAGGATGTCTCCACTGCCACAGTTCTTCAGAAACATGTAACACTTGAACAGGGCATAGTGGTTCATTTCAGCCTGGCGGATAAACCTCTTCAGGTTGTTAATGTCTTGGATAGCCTAGGAAAAGAGTAACAGAGCATTTTCTCATCCTGCTACATGGAAAGCAAACATAAAATCAGCTGGAAAAGTGAAGGAAGAACAGCAGAAGGAAAAGCATTTCCAATAGGAATTTTCTATTACTCCTCAATAGTAATGTAAGGATTGAGTACTGTCTTTGACGTTGTTACTGTAACTGCAAAACATGTGGACACCACAACTGATCTGTCCAAAATTGTAGCAAGAGTTCTCTTCTTCTGTTATGACAGATCACCTATGAAGTGTTAATTACTGAATCCTTGTTACCCAACTACATAATATTGTGTGCGCACAGCTCAAATTAACAGTATTTTAAGAGAAAAAAAAATGGGGCTTATTTTAAATATGAAAAAATGCCTTTGGAGTACTCACTGAAGTAATTTTCCCACTTCTTTACATTCTGGTCTTGTGTCAACTACAGTAAACCAGTCCTCAACTTAAACTTCGAAGTTAATCAGTTAATGACGTACAGACTTCAAAATAACTTAAAACCTTTGCTGCAAAAGGAGTATTTGCTCCCTCAATAGCCCTGGTATCTTCTCTGGGTCTTTAATATACATGAACCTGTACCTTCAATTTGAAGTTTTCCAAAATCTGCCGGAAGAGAAATGGATTTCCCCCTTCAGCACCATTCACAAAAGCCTGCATCCAGTCCTCACAGAACCTGTTGCTTCCTGTTACATGTCCAGGAACACAGAAAAGAGATGAGTAAGAGTAATCACTATCTATCTGCATCTATCTATCAGCCTCGATATCTAGCTGCATCCACCTCATTTAATCACTCTCACATAACTGACAGTAGTATGCCTGGGCCAGGAAATAAATCTTAAGAAAAACAATACATGTGGAAAAGAAAAGCAAACAGCTACACTGATTACATGAAATTCTGTTCTGATTGTTGAATCTCTTTTCATCATGTCTGTTAAAAGTTTTGCACTTTCCCTGAAGTGTACAAGTCATAGTGTCATGGTCTGCAAACTAAATGTACTGTGAACTTTTTTATCAGCCGTTTTCAAACTAGAGTTCCAGTGTGTCTGGTACAGCACACTACTCTACTGCCTCCTAGAAAAGGAGGTGTTCTGTTTCCAGCCAGAATATGAGCTTCCCAGGCATGAACCTGTGAGCTTCTGAATATCCTCAGCTACCTCTAATATCCACAACTCGCAGCAGCTGAGGGATACAAGTGAGTAACATTCCCAAGTATTCACAGCAGTGATCTCACCTGCATTATGCAGCTGAGGCTGAGGTCCACTGCAGTCTATAATCATGGACTTGTGCTGTTCCTCAGTCATGGCAATACACAAGGAAGTCATTGTGCCTTCCTGAACAAGTCCTTGGAGGCTAGCAGCTGCGAGGAACCTGGCATAAAAAGCTCTTGTGAACTTGTTTCTTTATAACTCCTGAACACCACAAACAGGACGCTGTCATACACAAGTTACTCAAAGGTTCCTTGGTCTCACAGTATCTTTACCTGCTAATGTCTTTTTGTGTTCTTTCATCTGCATTTTTCACTTCCACAGGAGTATAACTCAAAGCCTTAAATGAACAAAAAAAAAACCCAGACAGCTAGATAGAACTTTCGTATGACTTCTGTTGCTGTATTGTAGTTACTAGCAATAAATATATAACAAGGTACTTTTAAAAATGTTCTTTTCAGGGAACGAGTAGAAGCTACCGGACTTAATTTCTTTTCTGTTTCCAGTGAATTACATGAGAAACATGCACTACAACATCCCTTTTGGCTCAGAGCATTTATAGCAGGGACAGCTTTCACATGCTGTTTCTAAACTTCTCATTTTTATTTCAGCTTGGTCACCACTACGTAATTCAAAATTAGTGAACCATAAAAAAAAAAAAATGCTAAAAGAAATTGCTATGTACTTCCTTAGCAATAAAGCAGTGAAAAAGTACTTGCCCTGAATTTAAAAGAAAAAAAAAAAAAGAACAAAAAAGTTTTTCCTTACTTAGTCCTGGTTAGGAAAGCAAATGGAAGAAACATTTTAAACATGTGGTAGTCACTGAGATTCCTTCTGAACGTGTTTTTAGTTATCCAGTTTGAAATACACTTACAGCATGTAACAGAGAGGCAAGTTTCTCCTGGAAGAGCTGAACTACTCTCTCAATAGGGCATATGGCATCCTCAAACCAGCTCCTCAAGTAGGGGTTCACACAGGTCTCCAAGGTTTTTTGCTGTAACAAGTTGAAGTATTAAAACTTTAACTACAAATTAGATTTCTACACAAATAGAAACCTATTAATAATCTATTCAATTTAAGATATTTGGATGTCAGAGCTTTCTTAATTTCAAGCCACAGTAAACTAAAATAATGAGTTTGACATTTAAAGCTACACTTCCGTGAAACACCAGCAATGAAGAGCTTTGCATTGTAAGAAACAGACAGAACTGTAATATTATGGGATTTACTGAGCAAAGACCATGCAACCGCAGACAGGATGAGACAGTCTCAAAATGCAGTTTCCATTGGAAAAACTGTGACAAGAAAAACATTAAAAATCCTTCCTTAACATTCAGAAGTGATATAAACCCAGGTGGATGTGGATAGCTTTTCTGCAGAGCATTACCTTTTATTAGTCATTCTTCTCTCTGATCTAACTGCAGGTAACCTTTAAGAGATTTACGACTAGCACAAAGTCTCCCCTTTTATTTTTTTTCCCTTTTTGGTTTGCAGTTGATAGCATTTTAGACATTCACTGTCACCACAGTGAATCAAATCTCTCTCACGGGGTTTCATACTGGTACTTCAGCTTTTTTTTGTCTCTATAGACTAAATCTTCCAGATTTTCCTAGTAGTTTATCTGCATAAATAGTACTTTTCACCACTGGAAAAAACCCACCAGTAACTTAGGCCTTACCTCCAAATCAAGCTTTATCTTCAGAGTTTGAATGTATTTGTCCAGCTCAAGTCTGAAAGTATTTTCTTAAGGAAAATAAGATGCATCAGTTAAGACCTGCATTCCTCCCTTCCAGTATGGTTGTTACAGACATTTTCAGTTACTGGGAAGTGTGCACAAATGAGCTGATTTCAAGCAGGAAAGAGACAAGATGAGAACGTGTTTTTTATATCACCTCCCTCTTCACACAGATAAAGGTTAAAGGTAAGGATATAGTTCCAGACCTTTCTCTGAGCCACCCAAGAAACAAACCACATATTCTGGAACATTGATGTCTGATTCCAGCGCTGCCATTTCTAGATTCTCTTGTTGGAAACGACAGTAATAACAGCCAACCTTATACTCTGGTATGCTACACAGAAAAAAAAAAAGAATTATTTTGTTACACATACATCAAAAAGCAGATATGCATGACTTCTGTAAAGAATTTTCACCCGCTAGGATGGGTGGCTCCTATGTTCATATCTAGAGCTCTTAGATCGTCTCTTTTCCCTGTGATGTGATCAGAAAAGTTTAAAAGGAAATAGTCATAAACACACAGTTTTTAGGTACTCAGTAAATTATTTACTACAGTATTACTTTCAAAGCTACCTAGAAAGAGAAAAGTGCCATTGCAAAAAGCTGTTATTAACAGCAGCAATAGACTGAGAACATGGAACCAGGACTAAACTTAAATGCAGCAGCAGATGGGAAGATGTACAATGCTGCCAATGTTTCTTACAGTTTCTCAGAAATAATTCCTAAAATTTACCTCAGCCCCACTGATGCTACATTGCCCATTCCTTCAAACAGGGCTCCTTTAGAGAGACGCTTAGCGATAAAACCGCGCAGCTCAGTCTCCGCTTCAGCTGGTAAGTTAGTGTCCAGCAAGGAGAGGCTTGAAGAAACAAGAAGAAATCATTAGAAGAAAGCTAATATTGCTGTTTTGTTACTCTGAACAAGTGCAGAACTGTGTGCCTCTAGACCACTGTGATCTCTCTCCAGCTGCTAACTTGCTCTGTGATTTGCCCACTAGACCAGAAGTGTGGTGTCAGCTGATGCTGAACTCCTCAGCAGCTATGAAAAAGTCACTGCCTGTCCTTGTTCCTACGTTTCCCAGAGCAACAAACCCATTACAGAGCTTGTGGAAAGATAAAACGGACATTTAAAATTAATACATTTTAAGTATCTATTATCACCATAAAGACCTAAGTTGATACAGAAATATTAGGTATTAGTAGCAGAAAAAAACAGAGTTCAAACTTAGAGATGATGACTGTTTAATACATTGAGCTCTGTAGTTGTGTCCATGCTCTAGGTATTCCAGAAAAAGCACCCGGGGAATTTCAGTAACCTTTCACAGAGGTCTGCTTTAGGACTTCCATGTCCTTGCTTACTATTCACCAAACAGCACCACGGCAAAGATTTAAACACGGGCTGTTAGAGGCGATGCTCTGTTGTGCAGACTGGCTTTACCTGAAGTCTTCGCTGGAGGGTGTCTCTGCCGCGGCACCGCCGGGACTGCCATCCCCGCTGCCCGCTCCCTGCTGCGAGGATCTGAAAGTCAAGCCCAGCCGTTCTTGGGGTTGATCTTAACACAAAGCACAGGGAAAAGGGGCCGCAGCGGGGAACGGTACGGACAGAGGTTGTTTCAAAGCACGAGCAGGACATCAGAACGTTATGAGAGGAAAGTCTATTCGAGGGGAGTGGGGGTAGGGAGATGTGAAATAAAGCACGGGACCTGACCAGGCCCAGAGAGCGGCTGCCCGCGGGCGGCCGCAGCGCGC